ACGATCATCATGTTTCCTGTTGTGCGATTCCTCAACTCGACTTTTTCTTAGTTCTCAATAGTGTGATTCTTGCTTTTTCAGAGATGGGAAAGACGTCTCACAGATCCAGAAAGAGAAGGAGGTCACCGTCTGCAGATAAGATTGCGGGTTTGGAGGAAAAAATGTCACGCCTAATTGACATCCTCTCACAAAGTGAGGTTAGGGCACCCCGTCGCCCCTCCCCGCAACAATCTATTGTCTCTGCGTCCCCGCAGATGATTCAAGGGTCACGCATTCTTTCGAGATCTGACTCGGATATCAGTCTCGAGGCACCCCTGGTGCCAGCGGACCCATCAGGTGTGTATGAATACTGCTGGATCTGTATTTGCGAAATACAGGCGGCATGACGACACAACCTGCGTTCCTAGACAGTCTCATCAACTTCGTACGTCTATTGCAGTGGTAAGTGATGCAGGTGAGGAGGAGTTACCCCCCGCAGGCCCTGAGCATGGTTTGCTTCAGCCTAGCTCACTCCCGGATATCTCTGTCTCCGGCGAGGTCACCGCCGACTCTCTGGCCAAACAATTGTTTGGAGAGCGAGACATTGAGAAAGTTTCTGTCTGGAACGAGATGGTAACCCAGACGTGGCAGGATCTCGCGCGTTCTGGCCTAGTCACGGATCAACGTGAACTACTTTTTAAAAAATACTCTCCCCCAGAAACAGCGGCGTTTCTCAAAGCCCCCGCATTAAATCAAGAATGCAGTGTGGCTCTCAAAGGGAATTCTGTTATCAAGAGGGATGATTTTGCCCGCAAAAATCAAGAACAGCTTGGCAGAGCCCTTTGCGCCCTTGGCGAGGCTATTTCAGATTTTCTCTGCCCGACCAATCAATCATCTCTCACCCCGGAGGTCCGTTCAGCAGTGGCTAAAGTTAACGATGGTGCCAAAATCCTGGCTGACCTTTTCCATCGATTGTCTAAATCTAGACGGGCACAAATCATGCCCGCACTTAACCTCGCAGCCAAGGACACGGCGGATGCTATCCCTTCGGATGAACTCCTCTTCGGAACCTCCTTCGGAGATCAAATAAAGAAGGTTGCAGCAATGCAGAAATCATCTAAGGAAATCATCAGAGCCCCGTTGCAGATATCCAGACGGCTTCAGCAGCCGATCTCTCAGCCAGTACGTGCAGCGCCGTCTAGTTCGGGAAATGCCCGAGCCCCTGTGCCTCGCTCGAGGACGGCATCCAGGAGGCCAGGGGCGAGCACAAATCGCCGTCCGTACTATCCCAGGTCTCATTCGAGGTCGAGGAGACACTAGTCAACGCTGAGGTAATTGTGGGCGGCAGATTGGCCCGTTTTCGATCCCAATGGGAAACAATTACTTTGAATTCAAGGATTTTACAAGCCATTTCGGGGTATAGGCTACCCTTCATCCAGCAACCACCCTCTCAGACTAGAGAACCTTCTGTTCTCTTAACCTACCTCGAGGAGCAGCGCTGTTCCCAGGAGATTGCCAGACTTTTAACTAAGGGAGCAATAGAGCCGACTGTGGACTGCGAGGGTCAATATTTGTCCTCTTTTTTCCTAATTGAAAAACCCTCTGGGGGTTACAGATTTATACTCAACCTGAAGGGCTTGAATCGGTTTATTCATGCACCGCATTTCAAGATGGAGGACTGGAAGACTGTAATTCGCCTCATTTCTCCAGGTGATAATCTTGCCTCCATTGATCTGGAGGACGCGTACCTCCTCGTTCCGGTACACCAGAACGATAGGAAATTCCTTCGCTTTCGTTTTCTTGGTCAACTCTACCAATTTCGTGTCCTACCCTTTGGCCTGGCGTCGGCTCCTTACATCTTTACTAAAATTTTAAGGCCAGTCGCATATTTCCTCAGGGTTAAGGGCTTCTCTTCGGTGATCTATCTGGACGACTTCTCCTCATAGCACCATCGTATAATCAATGCCGAAAGAATATCAGAGCAACTAGGCAGTTACTGTTATCTTTAGGTTTTCTCATAAACGTACGCAAGAGCGTTTTCAGCCCAACAAGATCTTGTCGCTTCCTTGGATTTCTTTTTGATACAACATCTTTTACAGTCTCCATCCCCCCTGACAGAAGGGAAAAATTATTCCAGAGGACCTGGGATATTCTTACCAGGGACAGTTGTAAAATTCGCTATTTAGCCAGTTTTATAGGCTCTTTGATTTCAGTTTGCCCAGCCGTTCAGTACGGCATGCTACACACAAAAATTTTAGAAAGGGTGAAATTTTTGGCCCTTACGTCCGCAGGAGGCGACTTCGAGGCCCAAATGTCTCTTCCTTCATTGATCAGGGAGGATCTCCACTGGTGGAAGAACATTTTTGCGGACAAATCTCAAGAGAATCCCATCAGATCAGGTCTCTTCACCCTTGAGATCTTCTCTGACGCCTCCCTCACAGGATGGGGTGCTGTATGTAGCAGGGGACGTTCGCATGGATTTTGGTCACCAGAAGAGAAGCAGTTCCATATTAATTATCTGGAACTTCTAGCCGTTTTCCACGCTCTTCGGTGTTTTGCGGCGCAGCTTTCAAACTCCAGCATTCTTCTCAGAGTAGATAACTCTACAGCTTTGTCTTACATCAATCGCATGGGCTCCATAAGATTTCCACTTTTATCCAGTTTAACTAGGGAAATTTGGACTTGGTGTGCAGACCGGAATATCTTTATCTATGCTGCTTACATTCCTTCAGCCCAAAATTGCGAGGCAGATGCCGAGTCTAGGGTAATCTCCGAGGGGACTGAATGGACTTTAGAAAATCGATTTTTTACTATAATCAATCGTCGTTTCGGGCAGTTCGATATCGACTTATTTGCATCATCTATCAATAACAAATGCTCTAGATTTGTCTCTTGGCTTCCAGATCCTCTCGCAGAGGCAGTTGACGCCTTTTCGTTACACTGGGGTGATTTTTATTTCTATGCATTTCCCCCTTTTATCTTGATTTTAAAGGTTCTACGCAAAATTATCTCCGACGAAGCTGAGGGGGTGGTTGTCGTGCCGTGGTGGCCAGCCCAACCATGGTTCCCTTTATTTAATCGCATTAGGGTCAGTCGTCCTATCTGCTTCAAACCCAACATTAATATGTTGTCATCTCCTTTCAGGCAATTTCACCCAGCCTGGGACAGGATTACCCTGGTTGCCGCGAAGCTATCCGGCAGGCCTTTGCCTACAGAGGAACCCCATCCCAGGCAATAGCTACAATGCTTGCTTCTCTTTCCGAGGCTACTATAGCCCAATATACAAAGCCTATCAAGCTTTGGTGGAATTTCTGCAAAGAAAAGGGCATCATCTGTTTCACTCCGTCAGTACCGGTCTTTTTGGATTTTTTATCATCCCAGCTTTTAGGGGTAGGCTCCTACGCCACCCTAAACTCATACCGTTCAGCTATATCGCTGATTTCGACGAATGAGGTAGGCTCTCACCCTCTCGTTAAGAGATTCTTTCGAGGAGTTGCGGCCTTGAAACCTCAACGCCCTCGCTACGACTACGTCTGGGATCCAGCTCCAGTTCTTAACTATCTGGCCTCTCTATACCCCCACGAAAGCCTTTCTCTAGAATGTTTATTTAAAAAGTTCATTACACTTCTTGCTCTCACTACCGCGCAGAGGATGCAGACGCTTGCAGCCATCCAGATCTCTAATATTCATTTCGCAGACTCCTTAATCATCAAAATCCCTTCGCGTTTAAAGACCTCGGGAATCGGCAGATCTCAGCCTTTGCTCTCATTTAGGCCCTTCCAAAGTAGGCCAGAGCTCTGTATTTTTTCTCTGTTGAAGTTTTATCTGCAATTCACATCCGCCTTGCGCAGTGAAAGCTGTACAGCTCTTTTCATTTCTCTTCGGACCCCGCATAGGCCTGTGACAGCTCAGACATTAGCTCGCTGGGTTAAGGAGTTGCTAGGCTCAGCCGGAATTGATACTAGTATCTTTTCCGCACACTCTACTCGTCACGCTTCAACTTCCCTCGCCGCTAGTAGAGGTGTTAGTGTGGACGAGATCAGGCGTACGGCTGGCTGGAGCAGTTCCTCGGACATCTTTGCTCGCTTTTATAATCGCCCGCTTCTTAAGGGCGCTTCGTTTCAGGACACAGTCTTGAGTAGTACTTAAGGTCTTTTAAATTTTACGGCATATGCATTTTTTATTTGTGAAACATCTATACTTGTACGCAACCTTTGCTATTTATTCTTACTTATATATGGTCAGTTTAATCCAAATAAACAATGTTTTATTTTGCATCGTACGGAATCTACAACAAATCTGTGCTTTGAATATCTACAATTAT